CTGAGCTAACATCTGATGCCAATCCTCCTCTTTTTTGCTGAGGAAGACTGGCCCTGGGCTAACATCCGTGCCCATCTTCCTCTACTTATATGGGACGCCGCCACAGCATGGCTTGACAAGTGGTGCGTCGGTGTGCGCCCGGGATCCGAACCAGCGAACCCCAGGCCGCCGCAGTGGAGCGAGCGTACTTAACCGCTTGTGCCACCTGGCCGGCCCCTAAAGCCCTATTTTTAAAAAAAAAACAGTTTTAACGTTAGGAAGAGGAATCTTACCAGGTAATTCTACTTGCTAAGCTGATAGTTATCCATAATGTCTCCCTTTTCTTAAGATCCATAGGAGGGCAAAGTCAGACTCCTTAGGTTCATATGTCGGTGTCAGGTTACAGCCAAGCCTTACCTGCCTATTTCTTTTTTTCTAGTCCCTGTGCCCAAACTCCAAGCCCTAAGAATAGCAGATGGCTGGATCAGGCTTTTAAAGGGTGTTTGAATCATTCAGTCTTACATTTTATAGCATTTCTTAAGTACTTAATTTCTCAAAAGTACTGATCCATTATGTTGTTGCTGATGGTGAGTGTGTCTGTGTGTACCCTAGCATGCATGTGAACTTGAGAAAATTGTGAACTTAAAAAAAATCTGCTTGACAGAATTTCGCTATTTAATTACTTCTACAATTAGGATATGGGTAATATTAGTATTAAAAAGAATTAAATTAATGCTTAAATTAAAGAATTAAAAAAGGTTAGTATTAAAAAGAAGCATACATCCAGTTCAGTGTTTCCTTTGTTTATTGTAGTTCTATATATGTCTTAGAAATAGAGCCTTTCCTAAGAGGAATTTTAAATTGAATACCAGGACACAGGGTGTGTCTGGCTGTTTCTGTGATAAATCCGAACATGGTCTTCTCAATCTTAGAGTTCTTTAAATTCTAAAAGCTTAGAGATTGACTGATAAACCAAATCATAATATGTTTAAACTGCCCCCTCTTTAGTGGGGTTGTGTTTCCTTTGGAAAGATATATATCAGAAATCTCCAGAATCTCTGGAACTTAAGCTTCAACTCTCTGACCCTACAGAAGTTTAGACCAGATCAGGAATGGGCAGCCAGTCACCACTGGTGCCCCTTAAAGTGCAACTAAAGTAGTTGCTAATGATATGTTTTTCTCTCTCCAGCATTCATTTCTTTTTCTTGACTCTGCATTTCCCTCTGTTTCTGTCTTCCTTTAAAAAGTGTTTATTCTTCAGTAAATAAGTGAGTAGCTAGTAAACAATGTAGTTAGATGGAGGCGACTGGGTCGCCCTGTGGACGTATTCAGGCAATGGAGTGTTAGGTATTTGGTAGCCCGAGAATGTGTAATTCTTCAAGTATTTTTTTAAAGTACTCATCTGAAAATGTTCAGCATTTTCTGGTTCTTTTCTCTTCCTGGAGCCTGCGTACATAAAAGTTAGCAATACTGTGCTGTGTTAGGGGATGCAGGGTGCTCATCAGCTCTGTCATTTGCTTGTGCTGAACCTGTTTCATTTTAATTTAGTAATATTTTTCAAATGCTAGGTCCTGTGTGAGGGGCTAAGAATATAGGGAGAAAAGATTCAGCCTGGGACCCATTCGTCTTTAGTCTTTCCTCAGGTCTTCACCTCAGCTTCTGCCTCTTTGCTCCAGTGACTTAAAAATGACTCATGCTCATTTTTCAGATTTGATTTTTTTTACATTTCTTGTACCCATTTAGTTCCTCCTTTTAAAATAATTGAGCCAACTTCTCGGTCCCTTTTTGTAACCATATCTAGATCTACAGCCTTCTGAAGTTACTCATGCTTGGAGAATCTCACCTCCCCAGTGAGCTTCATTGCCCTTATTCCAGCAGTTCATTTCTTCAAGTGAAGCTCTTTGTGTTGGTGGTGGTGGTGGTACCCATATAGTTTATAGTCTATGTGCTGTCTTTGGATTGACACACTCTTCTCTTCCCTACACCCTGGTGGGGAGATCGTTTATGAAATTGAGTTGAATTGGGACCTAGGGCCTAAATTATCTACAGCAAATAATTAATTAAAAAAAAAAAAAACTAGACTTTACTGTGAAAGGTGATTGGCATACATTCAACTCATTGTATTTATGTTGGCATATGATCAGTAATGGTTATATACACTTTCAGAATGTAAGTCCCATGAAATATAGTATAAGTCCATAGTGTAGATCTAATCTGTGCAATACCCAGCACACTGTGAATTTCTGATAAATGCAGAGCATTGAAGGGGCTTGAGCTCAAAATACAAATCTTTTAAATTTCCAAATTTCCATTTCCTTTGCTTATAAGGACCAGGTACATTGATGGCAAGTCATTGTCATCTTGCTGTGAATTTATGACACACCGATTGAGCAAGAACTTGCAGGAACTTGTAAAGGGAAGTAATTGAAGCCCTGTCTTTAGCAATTTTGGAGAGTGTGTATATGTGTATGTAAGAAGGGTAGGGGTGAGGGGTCACGAAAACTTTGGGTGAGAGTGGGAATGTGGGGTCATTATATGTGTGAGAAAACCTTTGTACTATTTGATAAACAAATCAAAATGAGAACCGTCCTTGGGAAACTGGGCTTCATTAATTCAAGAATCTGCTTTGTCAGATTCTTTATTTCTCGTGTTAAGATCATTTGAACATATGCTTAAATAAATGTTGGACCATTAGACTTTGCGTGATTTGCTATTCTTTTCAATGGGAAAAATATTCTAAACCCTGAAAGTTTCCCCCTTGGATAGTGTATAGGAAAAAATGTTGGTCGCAACAAAGTTTTCATTCAGCCCACCAATCACTTCTTCCCCATCTGTGAGAAAGAACATAAAGCTGGATAGACTTCCCTTTTAATAAAAAGGCCCAAGACTAGGGAGCCAAATCACCTGTTAAAATTACAGTGTGACAGCATACATCTTAGGTTTCTGTCTGCAGCCTTCCTGCTGCTTGTGTTAAGCCTTAAAAGTTACAGGTAGCCATTGTCCAATGGCAAGATTGTGTATCTGTTTGGATTCTTTATTGCAAGCAGCAGAAACCAACTCTTGTTAACTTAAGCAGAAGGGCCTTTATTGGAATGATATTACATATTCATAGAATTGAGGAAAAGATCAAAGAACTAGGCTTGGGAGAGACAGGAAACAAGGCAACTCTGAAAGTCCAGGAACCAAGAACTACCTGAAGGTATTTGTAGTAGTTGCTCTCTGGGCAGGAAAATGGTGGTGTCACCTATTCTCAGCCTCCTGTCCCCTAGCTCACAGGGAAAGCTCAGGGAAGGAGCATCTTGTTGGCCTAGCGTGGGTCATGTTACCACACCTTGATAGAGGGAGGGTGGGGCCCTCCAGGCCTTCTCTAAGAAAGCTCATTCTCCAAAGGGAAAATTAGAGTGAACTTACTGGGAGAAAGTTATGCTAAGAAGCGAAAAGCAACAAATGGCCACCACAGGGTAGTGGAAAGGATTGAATGACAGAAAGCCGGTACTAGTTTTCCTTTGGTAAATGAGGGTTAGGAAAACGTGCCCGTGTGCATTGGCTATGTGGTGTGTCTGTCTCTCTCTGTCTCTCTGTGTACCCACCCCCCTTCTCTCCTGTCCTTTAGTTTGGGGCCTAGAAGGGCGGTGCTGTTGTGATGTTGATCTGTACACGTGTGGGATACTAAACATGTACGTCAAAGGTGCTGGTGGTGAAGCCATTACACTTCGATTGGTTTCTAGAAATTCCTTTTTTTTAAGGCCTTTTTCCTTGACTGCATCTGTGTTACCTTGTTTACCCTAAGGCACAATTTACTAGTTAACCTGCTCTATCCATAACTCCCCAGTTATGGAAGATTTTGTATTTTAAGTATGTTCATCAGTAGCCATAGTTTTACCTTTTAGACTCAGCTACATAAGTAAATTCATCCCCCAGTCTGATTTTAGTTGGTTGTTGGAGTTGATTTATGTATGTAGCACACAGTTACTAAATAAATATTGTTTAATGATTAAAGCTATAACTTTAAGGGACTATTAAGTTACCCTGCCAAATCTTATTATTGGAGAAATGGCAATAGAATCCTACACCTTATTCTAATAGTCTCCGTTTTAAAAGGAGAGTACAGTCTTTTAAAAGGAAATTAATTTTAATATCCTGGAATGTAGGGAGGGCACATATCTTTTCACTTACCTATGAACATTTAACAACATTTATAGCATACCTCCTGGGTGTAAGAAAAAAAATAATGATTAAATGCAGTTTTTATCAAATCAATTTTTAGGGGCTGGCCTTATGGCCTAGTGGTTAAGTTCGGCGTGCTCTGCTTTGGTGGCCTGGGTTCGTGGGTTTGGATACCATGGCTATACCACGTCTCAGCCATGCTGTCTGTGGTGGTGACCCACATATAAAATAGAGGAAGATTGGCACAGATATTAGCTCAGGGTGAATCTTCCTCAACAGAAAAAAAGTTAATTTTAAATGATGACCTATTGACACTCCTGTGTTAGTCCCTGTAAAGCTCTCAATTTCCATAGCTCCCACCATCAACTTCTGAACTACTAGTCTAATGCTAAACAGAAACATTCTGGACATTCGGAATGTCGTTTGGAGGTGTTGTGAAAAGCTGACCCAGTGTGCTTCTCTTTCAGCATCCAGTGCTTGATGAGCCAATAGCTGAAGCTGTCTGTATTATCGCAGACACGGATAAGTGGAGTGTCCAGGTAGCCACGAGTCAGAGGAAAGTGATGGACAACATGAAACTAGGCCAGGATGTCTTGGTCTCTAGTCAGGTGTCCAGTTTACTTCAATCCATTTTACAGCTTTACAAGCTTCACCTCCCTGCTGATTTTGTAAGTATTTGTTCTCCTATTACTAAAGAAATATAGTTTAAAAAAAAACACTTTTAACAATGTTTTGATTATAAAATCACAAATTCATATGTATTGTTTTTAGTATAATTGGATATTAGCATAACTAAAAATAGAACATGCGACATAAGACCAGCAAACAGGATAGGTTTCAGTAACAATAGCTGTTCCATGAAACAAATAGCATAGAGTGACATACATCCTTTTGAACAAGTATGTGGTATGTGGTAAAGTAAATGAGATGGGGGGAGGATCAAGCATAAAAGGAAATTTAAAATCCTCCTTTGGAGAACTCATTAGTTTTCCTTTTATTAGCTCAATATCAAGCAAGCCAGTTTCTGAAGGGATTGTAGTTCCTTTTGTTCAGGGACCAACCTCACAAAGTTGTTATAGATAAAATAGAATATTGTTTGCATAAACACTTGAAATTTTGAAGTACCATACCCATAGAAGATGGTATCAATTGTTCCTTTTCAAATGGGATTTTAAAATCACTTTCATAACATTATATTAAATACAAGTGACAAACAGAACCTGTAAACTCCTATCAACAGCTCTCCCTCAGTCACTGGAATTAATGTACAAAACAAATTCTTTTCAATATGTGTGTGTGTGTGTGTGTGTGTGCAGAGAGATTGAGAGAAAATGTATTTAGAGAGGGAGGGAGGGAGGCAGAAAGGTTTCAAAAGTAGAAGAGAGGCTTAGGGGCGTGTAGCTAGGAGAAGCTTTGATGGCTGACCTTGGGGATATGCACTTGGAGGGAAGAGCGCCTGCCTTCTCAGTTTCTTCCTCTCTTCTGCACACTGTTGCTCTCTGCACTACAACCCCAAACCAAAACATCTGTCACCTTCCTTCTGGCCTCCACAGAAGATACAGAGCTATTTAACAACAAAGTAGGAAGCTGAATATGAATTACACTAATTACTAATGGAGTGGTAATTTTCCTGAGTTCTTATGACCAAAACTACAATTGCACTACATTCCTCAGAAATAGTCAAGACCTTTATGGCCTTGAAGAAGGTGCTTTGAATACTGTCTGGTTGTCGTCTAAGGAGTGGCAGTACAGCAGGATAGGGAGACCACTGAATGTGACTGGGTTAAAGTCTAGGCTTTGCCATTGGTTAGTTGTGTGTTGGTGGACAAACCTCAGCTTTCTCATTTGTAAAATGAAGATAGTACCTATTCAATAAGCATGTTGTGAGAATCCTCTGAAAATTAGAGCTAAGAGACTGCTTTTTAAACTGTCAAAGTACCATGCCACCATGAGCTACTTTAACAGCCAGTGTATAGTGGCCAGTGCACAGGTTGTAGAGACCAGTGGCCTGGAGTCCAGTCCAAGCTCTGCTACATCCCAACTGTGTGACTTCTCAAAGTCTCAATTCCGTATCTGTAAAGCTGGGGAAATAATGGAACCTATCTCATGGGGTCATGAAAATGAAATTAGATAATTCATGTAAAGCATTTGGGATACTGTCAGATGTTATAAGCTCTCAGGAAACAGCCACTATTAGTGGCTGACAACACGTTTTCACTAAAATCTTTATTTGGACTTTAAACTGAAGCATACTCTTGCAGGACATCTGTCCCAGGGGCAATACGAGAAGCACTTAGGGGTTACTATGACCTTATTTTTGTTCTACACTTGTAGGCAGTTTTCTTTCTAGTAGCAAGTTGCTTCATGCTGATTTAGAGGCTGAAGTCTCCTTTTCTGTAAGGGAAGAAAGATATATTAGATTTTATAGTTTTTTACTGTTATAAGTATTTACCAAACTTTTACATTTTATTCTATAATACATTTGTATTATACATTTGACATCTTATTATCTAAGCAATAAGTTACTATAGCTAATTCTTTTGACTTCATTTGGATGGAAATATGTTTAGCCACCTAATAGTATGAATGACTTATTTAACCCAACAAAACCAAGATAAAAGAAAATTTCATCTGCAGTTTAAAATTTTCCTTAAAAATCGCTTGAATGAAACACTTGATTAAATGGCTATTAGAGCCTTCAGTACAAAAGGAGAACATAGCTATTTAAAATTTCAGAAGTTAAAAATTTAAGAAATCCATCTCAGGAATAAAATCCCCAAAAGGGGAGGAGGGAACCCAAAACAGTTCTATTTGATAATCAACCCTTTTAAAAATATTTCTAAATGCTTTGATTTCAAGTTTAGTAAACATTCCATCTAGACCAGTCTTCTCTTTATTTCCACGTTGCAACATACAGTTTTCATGAGGACTGTGAAGACACTGTAAATTAACTATTTTAAAACATAAAGGAGTCAATGTAAGGTGAATGTTCTTTTGAATATTTTATAAAACTCTTATGAAAAACTTCCCATAAGGAACTGAAACTTAACAGGAGATCCTTTCACCACTTAACTCTGTTCACTTGGGGGAACGTTTTCATGAGAAGTGGTGAAATCCTCCGTGCTTTGATTGTTACTCTTAGTCGCTTACCAGTTGCATTTCATCCACCCAACACAATGCATTTAAGGTTTTAAGCCACTGAAAAACTGAAAAGATTGCATCTCTAATAGATACTTTTTCCATGTCACTGATCAGCCCAGATGGTCAAGATCACCATTTTCAAATGCATCTGTTAATCTTTTTACCTTGAACATAACAGGTGTAATGGTCTAGAATAAAATTACGTATGATGGAATTACTCTTGCCAAAGCCATCGGGTGTCTTACTGAAGATGCTCACATAGGTCTGCCTGCCAAATGCAAAAGCATTTGCCTCTGGTGAAAGACACAGATGGTTGCTATTCTCGAAAAAATGAAGTTGGACACCGTTCCAAGGGTAGAGATGTCCGGGAAATAATTGCCTTTTCTTTTTTGTTGTTACAGACCTAGTTAAAATACACTCTTGAGGGCAAAAAAAAAGTTCAAAATAACCTTATTTCAGTTATTCTACTTCTGGGAATGGATTGCACCAAAATCATCTGAGATATAGGAAAACAATAACAACAAAGCTGTTCTTTACAAAATTATTTATAATCACAACAGTGCAAATTGCTATGTGGTTAAGTAAATAATGCTAAATTCACATTCTCAAAAATTATTTAGCCCTAAAAGTTATATTGATACAGAATTTTTAATAACATGGGGAAAAGATTATTAGAAATTTTTTAAAAAGCAGGAAATAATTGCACTTATAGAATGATTTCAACTAGGTAAACAAGTGCTTTTAAAAAAAGACTAGGGGCTGGCCCCATGGCTTAGCAGTTAAGTGACCGCACTCCGCTGCTGGCGGCCCAGGTTCGGATCCCGGGCGCGCACCGACACACCGCTTCTCCGGCCACGCTGAGGCCGCGTCCCACATACAGCAAGTAGAAGGATGTGCAGCTATGACATACAACTATCTACTGGGGCTTTGGGGGAAAAAATAAATAAATAAAATTAT